TATTGATTCTCAGCATATTCTCTATTTTCCTTACATTTATCACATACAAGAGCATCCTTTCTTTCTCCAGATGAGAAATGATCACAACCAACAGCTGACATGGAAATGTACTTCTTGACATTACTCTTCATGGCTGCTTGGGCTAGGAATTTACCAGAAGTAAATTCAATCTTTTCAATATCCTTTCCAGAAGTTGATCCAGCTGCATCAATCACAAAATCACATCCTTCCAAATATTTAACAAAGTCATCTGTTTGAAGTTTTGTCAAATCTCCAACGAAAACATCAGTACAACCCAATCCTTGAACTTCCTTCTTGGCATCTTCATCTCTAACTAAACCTTTACACTTAAATCCTTGGTCACAAAGTCTCTTACATAAAACTTCGCCAAGTTTTCCTGAAATTCCAGTAATGAAAACACAAGGTTGGTTTTGATGAGAGGAGCAAGCAACTTTTCTTGATTCCATTTTGAATAATGTTTTGATTGTTTTTTTCATTAACATTTTGTGAATTTTGCTTATTGGATTTATACCATTTTCGGTAGTTGTATAAATGGTCAATTAACAATAGTGTTATGTAGTATTATTGACTAATTATCATTTTAGGAAGAATTTAACATTGATTACAAAAGGATATAATCTAAATTTCGTAATTATTAACCTCATCCTTTTCCATCATTATAAATTCTTCATAGGGGATAACATCTATTAATTCATTTACGAATTTTATGAAGAAAATCAGCATTTTCCTTCGATAAATAAATAATTAAACAATACTATCATCTTTATCAATTCTAAAAAACCTCTTCATCATCTTCCGTAGCGAATTTTAAGAAGAAAAAAGGCGGGTTCAACGCTACCTATTCAATTAAGCCATTTTATTTTTAAAATGTAATCTTCAATTTTATTAAAAAATTTTAAAAAAAAATTGTTGATCATCAACACACCTAAAAGAACTTTTTTCAGTGTGTGTAATATTGATAGAATACAATCATACAACAACAACAAAATCATCATTATATTAATAAGAGAATAAGCCTTTTAAGCTTGTCCACAATATCATCACTTTTACAGTAAGCCTAAGAATAATACCAACAACATGTCTGCAACAACTACTACTAAAGGAGGAGAAACATTGTATGTCCACGTTAATGCTGAATCGGACAAGGAAATTGACTTTTTGTATAAAAACGAAGAGGAATTGAGCAATGCCTTGAAGGCTGCTATTCAAGAACAAGGTACACAAGTACCAAACTTGGAGGCTTCGGTATGTTTTGAACAATCAAAGGTTGGATCTAACTGTGAATGTATTACCACATGAATTATATGATCAAATAATTTTAATATTACTATCATCCTTATCATAATTTAATTTTAAAATAATAACAGGCAAAGTCTCACTATGAAGCAATTCTCAACATTGTTTCACCAAATCACTCTAAGAAGGCTAAGGAATTGGCTTGCCAATTCATTCCGAAATATGCTGCTAACTTCCCAAGCCTTTCATCAGAAAGTATGTCAAAGCAATTGGATTTGTGTGAAGAAGAG